TACTTCACATAGATTGTTGTGTGCCAACTGCCAAGAAAAATGGTTCCATGTGCATGAAGAAAACAAGATTAGTGCTAAGAAATTCCTACCTTTTTGGTCGCAGTTTCGTGACCGATGAGTCCATATACATAAGCCAGAACAAGAAGCAGCAATAGTGGTGGTGTTCCTGCCTCGCCAGTATTCCAATGCTCGGCATCTTCTGTAGTGCTAATTGGGGCTACCCTGCCTGAACGAGCATATGAGGTCATGGTATTCTACTCTTGCTCATCAAATTATGACATTATACTTTATTGGTTTCCTCAGAAGATCAGATATATAGACACTATAGGTTCATGTGACCTTCCTTTCTTGGTTGTGCATCTCCTATTGAAATGACTGAGTCCAGTTTATTACCAATTTTTTTTGTCTTCTGGTTATGCGTTTCAAACATGGCCTTACCTTTTCTTTTGGTATTCATAGCTAACTGAAAAATATAATCCAATTGTCTAAAAAACGCAGAGCTCCACATGAATCGTTTAGCTTTTGCCTCTACTTTGCAGATGTGTTCACTCAGATTGTGATGTCAGCTTCTCCATAAATTAGTTAGCGAAAATGCAGCAGTATCCACTTAGTTATTGACTAAATCTGCCTTTTTCACCGGGTCACTGGATCCAAGTTGTGTGCTAGGTACATGATCCATGATCAATTTTGTAGAATGTTAAGCTAATGCCACTTCGATTCAACGAATCTACATGTGTAAGGTTATTGTTGTTGATGTGCTATTGCATGCCTCTAGATTGCCAAATGTAAGTCTTTTGCAGCTTATAACTTTCTCCCTATTGTTTCTTCCTAAATTTACTCTCTATACTTTCTACAGCATCAATATTCTGTTCCTGTACCTATGACTAAGCTTCTAAAAACGAAGAGCCTGATTGATTGGCTTGTGCTCTTCCTGCTGTGACTGCACAAGCAGTGCACTCTACAGAGAGAAGCAGTATGGTCTGCACCTACAGCCCAAAAAAGGACAGGTCATTAGAACCGACAAAGGTTACCTTATCTCTTTAATACTACAATTGTTTCCTGTCTGCATCCTAAATCTTAATGTACTCTGTTTCCCATAACGGAACATGTTATGTTATTGATTATAAATATATTGCTGCTTAAAGCCTATTGATATTTTACTGAAGGAGAGATGTAAATACTGCTTCAGTTATAATGAAACTTCGAATCAAGTTTTCCTGGTTATGATGATTACAGCAATATAATACAGGTTGTTCGCCTCTGTTTCAGTTGGATTAATTAGCTAGAGTACAGATTTCCGTATCCAACTATGATGCCTTCATACAAGTTATTTCTATCATCACATATATTGCTGCATACCAACCGTGGTAACTCCCGGGGTTCCTGCTAGTATATAACAATGCAGAAGACATTAACTTAAGAGTATCAGTTACCTTGTCTGGATAATTGCCAAAAAAATGGTGAATATTTGTAGGAGGATGGCAGGTGCGTGCATAACAGCGTTCGTCGTTACCAAAGTATACTTGCAGGGAGGAGGATGCAAACCAAAACTGTTTGGATGTTACTGAAATATATACACCTGTAAAATGGGTTATTACACTTGTATTTTGTTGTCACACTAAGGGCCTGTTTTGTCACTAGTCGTCGTTGTCTAAGCTGTCGCCTTTGTGTCAGTATTACATCACCTATGTATAGGAATAGGTCACCTTGGCAGTCATAAAACAATTGTAGTGATAGCAGTATAGCAGCACATGCATGCCAAAGTATGGAGAAACTTTCATGGAAAGACAGCTGCTGCCAATTCATATGTATGGACAGACTCACTCCCAGACTGTACACGATGTGGTCCCTCGCGATTTAGCTGAGCTTGGGTTCATTCATTAATATAAGGCCGTAGAACCTGAACTCTTCCAAAAAAAAAATTACCCAAAAAAGAGAAGGGCCTAGAAAGATCTGAGCTGTAATGTTCTGTGCTTTCATAGATTCATTTATGAGACCAATGTTTCCTGTGAACAATATCAGAAACAGCAACTTGCAAGCTCCTACCTTGTTGGCCTAAAGGATCTCTAGTTACAAGCACCAATTTCCTTGCAGTTTTACTAATATATCAATCTCAAAATTTAATGCTTTGGGAAACTACCTATCACACCATTTCTGCTTAGTGCTTACCTAGTAGCTAGTCTAAAGCATGGTGTTTCGGAAAGCAGAAACAAGTCTTGGTGATAACAGCAGGATAAATGCCAAGATCGAGCCAAAGAACATCTTGGTCAGGTAATGCATAAGGTCCATGTTGGAATCAGTGTCTTCAGGCTTTCTGGTTGCGAGTGCTGAGGCAGAGGGCAGGGCTTCAACAACAGCATCTGCAAGATCGGAGTCCGAGATGAACGTTGAAGTGCATCAAGAGCAGGAACCCGACCCCAGTTCTCAATGCCTGATTCTAGAACCAACTCCTTGTACTCCATGTCGATTTCTTCCAATGTCTCAATGTGCTCACTCACAAAGCTGTATTTGTCATAAATGGCTCAGATTACATCAATAATCACACTGGTAAACGGAGTAAACCAGATACTAGCATATCGCAATACCCCAGCAAGACATTCATTGACTGTAAAAGTCAGGACATTTTATCTTGAGAGGTACCTTGTGTAACCAAACATTGTGCCAGAAGATGATGATCCTTGTCTAACCAAACATTCTTTCGAAATTTCAGCATTTTTTAACACACTATAACCCTTTTTTCTTGACTTGATCCATATTGGCACGATGATTCTGCTTGTTGATTTCACTTGATTCGGATATGGCACAACTATAAATATAGCTACCGTATGGCAGTATGCGAGACTTCCATCCGAGGACCTCACACCTCTTTTGACATTGAACACGTCTAGATAGAACATCCTGCAATGTTATTTTAGGAACCACATTGTGATGATGAAAGTTCATATGGTACCGACCATAAAACACAAAATAACTACTCTTAGTACTATCTGATTCTCTTCTCCGATAATACTGAGGTTTATGTTCTTGCATAATAATACCATTGTAGGGATATTTGTTGAAGTATCCAAGGAGTTGCAGCCAATATTGGGCAGTGAAATTTTTCCTTAGCAAGCTAGAGATGAGATTTGCAGCTGTGAATAAGGTTTAGCTGTGAACGATCCATTCATCTTCCTCGCTATCTCCAGGGCAACTGATTCCATCTTTGGTTGGTCTTCCGGATTTGCGCTCCCAAACGTAAGCACCTTGAAGAAATACCAGTATGTTTCTATCGGTAGAGCAGTTAATAGAAGGGCTTGTGTAGTACCAAATTTTATGATTTTGCTTGATCGACTCGTTATAACAATTTTGCTTCCTGATTCAAGACAGGCTGCAGAAGCAAGATACCACCTCTTCCACGTATCCTCTTCAACAACATCCTCTAATAGTTCAATGATAACTAGCACCCTCCCCTTCCCATTGTGCAATGGATTGTTTTGGTAGATTGTCAGACCTCCATCCTTCAGAGTTGCCAACCGTCCTTCTTTGACATCTTCGTGAGTGACTAACACTATTCTTGAAAAATAGTCACGCACTTTCTCGCTATTGTAGACGTGAGCAACAAGAGTGCTCTTCCCAACAGCTTCTGGACCAATAATTGGTAGAACCCCTGTACTTTCTCCGGTACAAGGCTCTGTTTGCATCACAAAATTGATGACCCTCTCCATTTCCATTTGACGGCCAAACATGCTGAGGCCAATCATCAGATGCATAAAGTAAGGTTGGCGGTACCGCGGAGGATAGTTCTTCAGAAATGTGAGAAACTCACTCATATGAAAGATGATGGTACCCAAGTTTTTTGACACTTGCTGGACTTGTTTCACGCATGGTGTACCAGCAACGCTGGTAGAGAGAAAAAGACGCTTGGCAGGACTGAATTTGGAGAGGGTAAAAGAGGGTCACGCTGTTCTGACCTTTGGCATCGTCTTGGCTGGCTTGGTTTCCTCTGAAACAATCCAGGACGTAGTAGCCCCTGTACATCTCCTTCCTTCAGGATGTTCAGTTGCTGCAGCATGGCTTGACTTGTGATACTTTGCCCGTCCGCCGCCTCCAGGATGACGTGGACACGAAGCAGCAGCAGTTGCAGCGTCTGGAGCATCTCGTCCACACTTTCTGTCTTTGTTTCTTCTGCATCTATTTGTCAATCAAGAATGAAAAACATTTGCTCGCAACTTCACCCAGAATCGCAGTCAAGATGACCTCCATTGATCGAGAAAGCTCTCTTTGCGAGATAGCTAGGCACTCCAATCAGTCACCCAAAACTGCTTCTCAATTCTGATACTTCACTACATATTAACCTCGACAATATATAGCAACGCAGAAGACATTAACTTAGGAGTATCAGTCACCTTGTCTGGATAATAATAGCAAATGCGGCACCCATGCCATGCCAAAAAAAGATGGTGAATATTTGTAGGAGGATGTCAGTAGTCATTGTCTAAGCTGTCGCCTGTGTCAGTATTACATCACCTATGTATAGGAATAGGTCACCTTGGCAGTCATAAAACAATTGTAGCAATAGCAGTATAGCACATGCATGCCAAAGTATGGAGAAACTTTCATGGAAGACAGCTGCTGCCAATCATATGTATGGACAGACTCACTCCCGGACTTTGTACACAATGTGGTCGCTCGCGATTTAGCTGAGCTTGGGTTCATTAATATAAGGCCGTAGAATCTGAACTTGACTTCCAAAAAAAAAATTATCCAAAAAAGAGAAGGGCCTACAAAGACCTTTGAGCTGTAATGTTCTGTGCTTTCATAGATTCATTTATGAGACCAATGTTTCCTGTGAACAATATCAGAAACAGCAAATTGCAAGCTCCTACCTTGTTGGCCTAAAGGATCTCTAGTTACGAGCACCAAGTTCCTTGCAGTTTTACTAATATATCAATCTCAAAATTTAGTGCTTTGGGAAACTACCTATCACACCATTTCCGCTTAGTGCTTACCTAGTAGCTAGTCTAAAGCATGGTGTTTCGGAAAGCAGAAACTAGTCTTGGTGATAACAGCAGGATAAATGCCAAGATCGAGCCAAAGAACATCTTGGTCAGGTAATGCATCAGATCCATGTTGCAATCAGTGTCTTCAGGCATTCTGGTTGCGAGTGCTGAGGCAGAGGGCAGGGCTTCGACAACAGCATCTGCAAGGTCGGAGATGAACGTTGAAGTGCATCCAAGAGCAGGAACCCGACCCCAGTTCTCAATGCCTGATTCTAGAGCCAACTCCTTGTACTCCATGTCGATTTCTTCCAATGTCTCAATGTGCTCACTCACAAAGCTGTATTTGTCATAAATGGCTCAGATTACAGCAATAACCACAGCAACATAATCTAGACTGGTAAACAGAGTAAACCACGAACTAGCATATCGCAAAACCCCAACAAGACATTCATTGACCGTAAAAACTGAGCTCCCAGATTGTGTAGTTGTGTTCTCTGGACCAGTTCTCACGCAAAAGATCTCTTTAGGGGAGGCATCTGATTCTAAAATTGTTTGAAATAAGTTTTCCGTTCATTAATACAATGGAACATGCAAGCTTTTGCAAACACATAAGATGCGCATACATGTTATAACATTAAATTCATATTTCATAAGGCTTTCAGATGGTCAACATTGTGCCAGAGATACCAATGTGATAAATACAAACAAAAATGAGGAACTAACATGTATCATGAGAAGTGCATGTAGTAAACTAACCCAAAGGAAATGAAGATCATATAGAGCTAAATGTTGCTTATCTCGTTTGTACAAAAAAAAAAGAAAGAAATTACCAGATGGCCAGAAATGCTAAACTTGATTACCTTACTGGAACAGCCAGGAGGCTCTTCACACCGTTTTGACCAAGTTCTACTAAAACTTCATCAGTATATGGCTTCAGCCATTGAACTGGCCCCACCCGACTCTACATGTAAAAGAAAATGTTAACACTAGTAAATTGTGACCAGAAAAACTAAAGAACTGGTAACTCAGAACTCTATAAACTTGGCATTTTCCATTTCTAGTTTTCTTGCAAGGTAATCGGATTTGATCATTTAAACATAAGTGCACAGCTTTGAAGTTATTAGTGACACAAGTTCATATCAAATTTGAATAGCCTATACCTGATACGCCAAAGTGTGACCATTTAAGATTCCTCTGGATCTCAGCTCCCCCATTATCAAAGAAATACAATCCTCCATCTGATCTCTGTAAGGATCTCCAGCATCCTCAACATAGGTAAGTGGCACACCATGTGCACTGAAGAATATCATAACCTGCCATTTATTTTCACAACAATAAAAAGTATTGTCAGACTGAAATTACAGCACAATTTTTGCATGATTATCTGTAAACTAACTGCAATGCTGCTTTCAGCAGAAACAATATCTTGTGCTACTCAGAAATTAACATGGACGTTAGAATGTGCCAATATGTTAGTAAAGGTAACAAACAAAGTGTCATGGAAGTATTTTTTGCTATATATCTAATAATAACATTTGCATTTACCTACTCTTAACACATCTGTGTATATTACTGGTCAAGTTTATCCAGAGAAAGATACCTATAACAATGTCAAATCACAGTTCCAATAAAATTCTCTTCGAAAGGAATTGTATAGCTAGTGAATAGCTCTAGTGAAATTTCGAATGTGTAGATCAAATAAGTGATCCTCTGTTGCTAACTGTAGAATAAAGATGGAGGTAGAATTACGAATAGGGCACCTCTTCAGGATTGGAAAAGGCAGATAGCTCTTTTTCAATTAGGTCAGTCATTGATTTCACGTAGCCATCACGTTGGTACCATGATTCGATAATGGAAATTGGCAAGCCAGAAAAATATGAATCTTCCCTGCATGGAAACCTAAGCATTAGTATTCCAAGTTCTTGTAGATCAAAGACGATAGGATCTAATATGCTAGAAGTGATATGTTTGGTGGTGCCTCGCCCAACCTAGCAACCCTGCTGCTGCCGACAGTTAAGGAGATGAACTTATGGGGTCTAGCAGGTACCAAAGGGATTTCTGTCTTTGTGGCCTTGCAGGGAGGAAATGGTTAGTGGTAGTGTTTTTGTTGGTTGTGGTAGTTTCTTGAGTTAAAAAATGTGTATGTAATGTTCAGTACCTAGGGGTGTGGTTGTGTGTGTTGTTTGGGTTCTTTACCCTCTTTTTCTTCTTAATATAAAAGATACGCAGCTCTCCTACATGTTAGAGAAAATAAAAGGGTCTCATATGGGAGAAGGGATCCTACTTGACAATGTTTTGGAGAACACGAATGCTTGACCCACTTGTTGATATGGAGTACTGAGGGTAGAGTGGAAGAACAACGAGCTTGGAAATCTTATCCTTCTTAATCTATCATTAACCAAAAACAAGAAATAGTTAATCATCAAATAAGAGTTGTATGGACAACAAGGAATAACTATGAAATCCATTTGGTGGAATACTTGAACATATGAAACTTAAATTAGGGTAAAAAAATGTCAACTAGAATAATGCAAACATTGAGTCCATAGAAGAAAATTATATTCAAGATAACTACATTCCACGTATACATGTTATTCTAGCTTCTAAATCTTGATAATAAAAATATTTCAGTCTAAAGTTCCAATATTACTTAAAATTATTTTTCTGATACACCCTTTCACCGTCACTATATCATCATTACTAAAAAAGTAAAAGACTTACAAGCAATTGTAGTAGCGATGTCATTGACATTGTCAATTTCTCGCAACAATTTTTTTTCTCTTTTTGGGCTCAACCACAAAGGATCCATCTAAACCAATTCTGGTTGCAAAGATGGAATTAGCTATCATGTGCTTATTGTTAGCTCATACACGGACAGGCAAGTGCATGTACAAGCTGGAGTTATTAGGGACAACTCTACATACTCCACTCGATGACGGTACTATGGTCTTTTGAATGGGTGACAAGGTTTTTCTGCTGCTAGAATGATATGCATTCGGAAAGTGATTGAATGCTCATGAGACGTAAAAAGAAAGAAACCGAAGGAAAAAAGATTTAACAGGAGGAAATAAATTAACAGAGGCAGGGCGCTAGAATTTAACTCCGCCTATGGTGGGGCGCCTTTGGTGTCCCAGCATAGCAGGTCCCAAACTCTGGTAAAGAAGGAGGGTTGTGTTAGGCGCGGCGAGCCAATGTAAAAACTTAGCCACTTTTATGGAGATGAAACCCAAAAGAATCTCGCTGGGGCGTAACCCTCTTAGCAGCGCGGTATGTCGGAACCTGGGTATGGTGTTAAATGAGTAAGGACCGGGTCGTCACCCCCGTGACGCGCCGTGTCGCGATCTGGGCACGGTGTCAAGTGAGCAAGGATCGGGTCATCGCATCCTTAGTGGCGCGCCACATCGGCGCCCGGGTGTGGTGCAAAATGAGCAAGGGTCTTCACACCTACCTCGGCGGGTGCGAAGGGTAAGGAAGCTAGTCGAGCCAACTAGGATCCGTTTAGGTAGCTGGAATGTAGGGTCCCTTATGGGTAAGTTAAGAGAGTTAGTGGACACAACGGTTAGGAGACGTGTAAATATCTTATGCGTCCAAGCAATGTTTTCAAGTCATCCGATTAATCGCGATTACTCGTCCTAATCGGTCCCTGGTGTTCGATTAGAAGGTCCGACTCGATTAGCTCGACCAGAAAGCTGGTCGTCCGATTAGTCGACGACTAATCCGACTAGGCCATGGACGACCAGTGTGGTTGCTCTGTTTTTTTTGGCCTGTTCAACCGGGCCCATATGTGGCCTATTGGGTTTCCAATTTGGCCTATTAAGGTTAGAATAGGCACCCCAAAACACCGGAGGTACGCAGGCACGGTGGCAAACGCAGGGCGGCCGCAATTTTTCCCAGCAGCCCCACTCTCCCACGCTGCTTTTGCTTGCCTCCGTGTCGCGATTCCTCCCCTTCCTGCGCGCGATTCCCTCTCTCTCGTGAGCTATTCCCCTCCCTCGTGTGCTATTCCCCTCCCTCGCACGCTATTCTCCTCTCTGGTGAGCTGTGAAGCCAACGGCGCCCTCTGCCAGGTCAAATGGCTGCGGTCTTCGTGATGAGCTGCTCCAACGACGATATGTGCCTTTCCCTTCTCCTTCTTCTTCCCTCCTCCCCCATCCCTCACTCTACAGCCTCTCTGGCTCTCTGCTAGACTGCTAGGTTGCTTGCTGTGTTGTACTGCTGTCCCTGCTATTCTCTGGTTCCAAAGGAAAGAAAAGCAATCCACTCTGTTAGACTAATCGGTCTGGTCAACAAGTAATCGCGATTAGTCGCCTGGTCGGTCCCATGGCGACTAGGTTCGACTAGACGACTTGAAAACATTGCGTCCAAGAGACTAAATGTAAGGGCAGAAGGTGAAGGAGGTGGATAATACCGGCTTCAAGCTCTGGTACACAGGGATAACTTCAAATAAAAATGAAGTAGGAGTTTTGATTGATAAGAGCCTCAATGATGATGTGGTGCAGGTGAGAAGGCAAGGGAATAGGATCATTTTAGTTAAACTTGTCATTAGTGATATGGTCTTAAACGTAATTAGTGCGTATGCCCCCCAAGTAGGCCATGATGAGAGTGCTAAGCGGCTTTTCTAGAAAGACTTAGATCGCTTGGTTAGAGCTGTCCCTAGTAGCGAGAAGCTCTTTATAGGAGGTGATCTTAATGGCCATGTAGGTACATCAAGTGCAGGTTTCGAGGCAGTTCATGGGGGTTTCAGATATGGTAGTAGGAACCAGGAGGGAGAGAAAGTTTTAGACTTCGCCATATCTTTTGATCTGATGATAGCTAACACTTTCTTTCATAAGAGACAGTCCCATTTAGTGACCTTTAGTGGCGGCCAGTACTCTAGTCAAATCGACTTTGTCCTTACAAGAAGGAGGGATAAACGAACATGCGTGGACTGTAAGGTGGTACCTGGAGAATGTGTGGTCGCTCAACACAAGCTGATGGTGGCTGACTTCCGCTTTCTGGTGCAAGCTTGTGGGAACAAACAAGCTAGGGTTGCTAGAACGAAGTGGTGAAAATTAGAAGGAGAGGTATCAAAGGTCTTTAAGAAAAAGGTCATTGAAGAGGGCCTTGTAAGGATGAAGGCGATGCAAATAGCATGTGGGAGAAGATGGCAACATGCGTTCGGAAGGTTCCTTCAGAGGTGCTTGGAGTGACCAAAGGGAGCGGATGCGACTCGAAAGACACTTGGTGGTGAAATGAAGATGTGCAAAAGGCTATTAAGGAAAAGGAGGAGTGTTATAAATGCTTGTATCATGACCAAAGGGAGCGGGTGCGACTCAAAAGACACTTGGTGGTGAAATGAAGATGTGCAAAAGGCTATTAAGGAAAAGGAGTGTTATAAACGCTTGTATCATGACAGATGTGCAGACAACATAGAGAAGTACAAGGTGACAAAGAAGACTGAAAAACGAGCGATGAGTGAGGCAAAGGGACGGGCCTATGAGGACCTTTACCAACGTTTGAGTACGAAGAAAGGAGAGAAAGACATTTATAGGATGGCTATGGCTCGCGATAGGAAGACAAGAGACTTCAACCAAGTCAAGCACATAAAGGATGAGAGGGAGCAACTCTTGGTGAAGGAGGATGAGATCAGACATAGATGGCAAGAGTATTTTGATAAATTGTTCAATGGTGAGAACGAGAACACCACCACTCAGCTGGACGACTCGTTTGATGATACTAACAGGCACTTTGTGCGGAGGATTCAAGAATCGGAGGTCAAAGAAGCCTTGAAAAGGATGAAAGGGGGCAAAACGATGGACCCTGATGGTATCCCAATCAAGGTGTGGAGATGTCTCGGGGTTATAGCTATAGTATGGCTAACCAAGATGTTCAATAATATCTTTCGATCAAACAAGATGGCTGAAGAGTGGAGAAGAAGCATATTGGTACCAATCTACAAGAACAAGAGAGATATCCAAAGTTGTACTAATTATCGGGGAATTAAGTTGATGAGCCACACTATGAAGTTAGGGGAGAGAGTCATCGAGCAGCACCTGCGAGGAACGATGCAGATATCAACAAACCAATTTGGTTTCATACCCGGAAGATCAACCACAGAAGTAATCTTCTTAATAAGACAAGTTATGGAGCGGTTTAGCGAGCAGAAGAATGACCTCCACATAGTTTTCATTGACGTGGAGAAGGCTTATGACAAGATACCAAAAAATGTTATGTGGTGGGCTTTAGACAAACATAAAGTCCTATTAAAGTACGTGACCCTCATCAAAAACATGTACAATAATGTTGTGATTAGTGTTCGAACAAACGATGGTAACACAGATTACTTCCCGATTAAAATTAGACTTCATCAAGGGTCAGCCTTAAGCCCGTATCTCTTTGCCTTGGTAATGAATGAGGTTACCAGGAACATACAAGGGGATATCCCTTGGTGTATATTGTTCGCTGATGCTATAGTGTTAGTGGACGAAAGCAAGGCGGGAGTAAATAGAAAACTAGAGTTATGGCGGCAGACCCTTGAGTCTAAAGGTTTTAGATTGAACAGAACTAAAACCGAATACATGAGATGCGACTTTGGCGGAGCTGCACAGGAGGAGGGAGATGTGAGTTTGGAAGGTCAAATAGTGTCTAAGAAGGATACCTTTCGGTATCTGAAATCGATACTACAGAGGGATGGAGATATTGATGCGGACGTTAGTCATAGAATCAAAGCAGGGTGGTTCAAGTGGCGACAAGCTTCTGGCATTCTCTGTGACAAGAGGATACCACAAAAGCTAAAAGGCAAATTTTATAGAACGACGATTAGACCGGCTATGCTGTATGGAGCAGAATGTTGGCTTACAAAGATTCAACGTATTCAACAACTGAGTGTTGTAGAAATGCGTATTTTGCGATGGATTTGTGGTCACACAAGAATTGACCGAGTTCGAAACGATGATATACGTGATCGCCTAGGGGTAGCACCAATTGAAAAAAGCTTGTCCAACATCGGTTGAGGTGGTTTGGCCATGTTCAAAGGAGACCTCCAGAGGCACCAGTGCATTGTGGAGTCCTAAGACAAGCTAATAATATGAGAAGAGGTAGAGGAAGACCAAAATTGACATGGGGGGGCAATAAAAAGAGATTTGAAAGCTTAGGATATACCTAGATATCTATGTTTGAATAGGAGTGTTTGAAAAGCAGCTATTGAAGTGCCTCTTGGTGGGTTTCAACTCTAGTCTACCCCAACTTGCTTGGGAACCGAAAAGGCTATGTTGTTGTTGTTGTTGTTGAGGGCGCTAGAATTTACCTGATCAATGGCTTCTTCTGTGAAAGGATACCAATACCGCATCCCAACATATATATTTGCGTTCAAATTTTTCTTTTCCAGAGCAATCTTCAAAGCATTTGCCTGAAATATCAGTTATTTTACTGAGAATGTGATTTACACTGAATTGAGATTTAACAAGTTTTGAACAAACTGATAAACCACAATCAATAAAACAGGTCAAAAGTAAAGAAATGCAACAATAATTTCATAACATGGTCAGCCTTGTGAACTTATACCTGCTCATCAGTAATTTTCCTCAATGGTGACCCACCACCGATTGAAGCATACCCTTCTTTACTCTTAGGAGCTCTAAAAGTAGAAATAAGTTTGGCCAGTGGTCTTTGAAGAAACCTGAAGAGCCTAGGCAGTCGAATGATATCCTGAAAAATAGAAAAGAATTATGATAGTTTTTAAAACTGAACTGTAACGATTGATAAAACAAATTCAGTACACACACAAGAAAGAGGGATTCTGAATTTATAAATTTTATAAATTCATATAATTAATGTGAGATCTTAGTAAATTAGTATTTGCTATGTTCAGTAGCACAGACCCGCAAAAGTTTTTGTTTTAGTTGGCCCTCGTTCAAGATTCAACTACCATGGAAAACAGTTAAAATGGAAACTTCAATTGGTAAAACACACAAATAAGGTTTTTTTTTCTTTAGGCTCCACAATTGCTAGGCTGATTAGTTCAAAAGCCAATATTAAGGAGTTGCATACAATCATTCGAAGTTATCAGATAGCAATCGATAAATTGGCTAGATACAATTAGTGAACAGGTCCACTGGCAGAGAAATTATAATTTTGTAGGTACTGGGGCATGACCACTTACTGGATCAGCAAATAGGTTGAACAAGAATGGTTGAACATCATCGAGGGTCTCTGGACCACCAAGATTTAATAACAGTACTCCAATTTTTTCTTCAACAACACCGGAAGATACACCTTTGTCATCATCAAAAGTGGTAACCACATTTGCGGAGGAAGAACTAGCAGAAAGATTCCACTGATGTTTAAGCACTGGACTTCTGTAAGCCAAACGAGAGGATCCATTTGTTGCCAATTGCAACGGCTTGACATTCTCATGCAAGTTCTGCTCATGTTTGGTAGAACCAGTAAAACGTGTGGAGGTTGTTTTGCCACATGACCTGCCAATAGTAGAACAACCAATCAAATATAGAACCGATGATGTATGCTTGGATGCCAATAGAACAGATCCTCCAATTTGAAAACAAAGGTCATTCCGTCTGTCCATCCCCAGTGGCTATATCATCTAAGCTCAGCTCGAACACATCCCAAAAGATTGTAAAATTAGTGGTGTGAGGGATGAAGTGTTAAATAGAATTGTGCCCTGATTTACTATGGGTTCAAATTGAAATGTCTACAACTACCTAGCAACATATCTGATTTAGCAATATAACTTAAATACTTACATATATTCTTAAGGGTATATCCTTTTAAATTCATAGAATTTCAGTTTTCTGTGTATTGCAAAATATTCAACATAACAGATAACAACTTTTTGGGGGTAGGTCTCATACGATTAACCTTGTTCAAAAAAAAATACAAACCCAAATAACACGGTTTGTAAAACCACGGTATTATGCCATCTTGCAAGCAGATTAGATACCCTCAACTCTTCTAGTAGCATATCTTGATTTGAGGATAGAAATGAAATTCATCTTACTCAAGTACTAATTTCCGAAATGGGGGTTGCTCTGGTGCGGAAACAATGGATCGCTAGTAAAAAAATATTAGAATGAAAACCAAATAATCATCATAAATAATGCTAGAATCCCACGGCTTGACAGCCTCAAGAGCAGTGGCAAATTGATTAATTAATTCTAGGATTCCATACAACGTTATCACTCCAACCATCATAAAAAATGAATTAGTTAGTCCCACGGTACGATCCCAGACTTAACTGGAGGTGATCACAAAAAAAAATGACGAGGAGAAGGAACCGAGGGGCACTCACGTCGTGGCCCCGGTCTTCGCCCCCAAGATTTGGACGGCGCCGGTGCACCTGGAGCCCAGAACCCCGCGCTCCATGATCCTTCCTGCAGCTGCAGGACTTTTCATTTTAGGAATATAAAAAAAATCAATAAAGCCAACCCTCCATCGGAGGAGAACGTGGGGGCCCGGCCTGCATCCATCAAGCGCCATGAACAGGAAAGGCGCGCGGAAAGAAGAAGGGCGAAGAGAAGGAACCAACCGGGGGAGCGGCGGAGAGGAAGCGCGGTCGGCGCAGCGTGGAGGGAGATCTGCTTGTACCTGCTCGCTGTCCTGAGTAGCGGGGAGGGCGTGGCGTGAGGGCGTGGGCGTGGATCTCTGTCTTCTTCGCGCCTTCCTGTGTCCACTCGAGTCGTCTGCTGTTTGCTTTCCGCTTTCGGTCGGTTTGGGTTCGTCGTGGCGTGAAGAAGACGAAGAAGAAACAAAATGTTGGGTCAAACGTGGCAGCCCGAAATGACGAATCCGCAACTACCCGGAGGCCGGGAGGCGGACCCCCATTCGGCCAGTCGTTTCCACGAAATATGGCAAGTAAAATTAAATCATTCTTATAGTAAAATTTAGCAAGAAAATAAGTTATATGACAGGATATTAAGAAAATATAGCACGTTATAATTATAGCAGTAAATTAAATAGCTGCAAAAAAAAACTATTGACATTACTAATATGTGACGTAGCAAGTTATGATCATAAACTAAACAGGCCCTTAACGCACCACAAGTGTATAATGTGGCAAGCCAAAGGGGAGAAAAATAAAAACATTGCTCCTAGTGAGAAAATAAAAAAACCTCTATGCACCATATATTTTTTAATCTATCATTTAATAAGTTCTTTGAATTAAAAAGGTAAAAAAACCAAGAGTGTAATTTCACATACGTACACAATACACCGTGGTTGTGGAAAATATAGCTAAACTACACAGGATAAAGTCAGTTTCTCAAAAATGTACACATAGATATAAAAAAAATATAGAAACTACACTTTTAGGAATCAACTTTTTTGAAAAACCTCTACAAATCAATTGTAAAATGTGTCAAGTGTAGCTCCTTAAATTTTCCTCAGATTTTACTTGATCGACAAACTCTAAAAGTAAAGTCATGGCTCCTTAAATTTTCAAGGTAAGAGGATCTCCAAGAGCTTTTTTAAATCACACTCTCTAAATCATAATTTGGAGAGTTATTTTGCATAAAAGTCGATTTCTATATCTTTTCATTCTCCAACAGTTCTTTTATATCTCATGCGCACTCTATAGAGCCATTCTCGTCTTCTATTTTTGGCTAGCGAAAAATCCAGAATAGAAGATGACTATATTTGGATAACTCTTTAGAGAAACTGTTGAAGGGTAGCTTTCACAAAAATCTCTATTACTAGCATTTAGAAATGATATGGAGAGTCTCTTGAAGATGCTTTAAAAGACTAGATCCAGGGCTGCAAAATATAGAGATGACTAACCGAATAGGGCAGCATAGTGCATTTTTTTCACATATTCAAATGTTTCTTAATATTGGATAGGAGGGATTCCAATATTCTTGCAAAATGTCTATAATACCTCATAATTTTATAAAGTAATACTTTGCTAGAGCATAGTAAATAATGAGTAAAATATTTAACGAATGATACAACATCATTTAGTTTTTTTACTAATATACACCTGGACCTCATTTAGTTTTTGTTTGAGCCCTTGACGGAAAAAATTTGATTCACTGATTCAGCGTTCATGATGTACCAGGGGTGGCTCCTCTCTGTTGTTCACTAAAAACGGCTCCTCCCACAAAAGGTTTGATATGGCTTTTCCGGAGAAGCCAAAGCCGAGAAGAGGCCCTGTCAAATAGGCTCTAAATCCCTTAACCTCGTATCTATTCGATCCGAAAACTAAAAAATCCATACGCTTCATTGTAACACCTCTGGTGTTTTGACCTAGCATTAAAACTTGACATTTCATCATATGCATTGCAAAGCATTCATAAAGTAGGAAATTTTGGATGCATTCACTAAATAAGCTTTATTTCATAAGTTGTTATTTTATGTGATGCAATGTGATTCAAAACTCTAAATGAAAATCATGACCACAAGGGTTAAAATTCATGTGATCATGTGAGACCATGTGTTAATCGACTCAAATAACCCTAATGGGCCATGTTACTGGTCAAAAATCAAAGTTAAGTCAAAAGGAAAACAAATTAAATTTGAATTCAACTTCAAATTTTAAAAGTCCTTTTTGCCCCTTTTGTATATTTCAAAATCCATTTGGAATTTGGGGGTGTGACACAAAGCAAAGTTGGAGTTTATTTTATAAGGATCAACTTTGGTATTCAAAGTTTTTAAAGTTTACATATAAAGTTTGAAGTAATTTTGAAATGATTCAAATGCTCAAATGCACCCCAAATTCAAATTTTAAAATGGAGGCAGAATTTGAAAATATTCCTTGAAGCAAAGTTGTAGAGTTTGAAAAGTTGAGCAACTTTCATTTTTGGGAGATTTTCAACTTCTTTAGAAAATTTGAGAGTAATTTGCAAAATGAACTCAGTGACAATTCTGTAATTATTCGGAACAGTAGCACGACCACCGCCCCACCGCCGGCGTCCTTTCTCCGGTCTTCCAGACGCACCCGTGGCCGCCCTCGGCTTCGCGCTGGCACGAGCGCCTCACTGCATATCACCCCCTCACTCATCTGGCCGCACTATAAAGCCCCGACGACGTTAGCTGCTTTTCTTCCTCTCCTCTGTTTCCCGACACCGCCGCCTCAACTCCGGCGAGCTCTCCTCGACTCCTTAGCGCAAGCTAGTCTCGGTAAAGCAGTGCTCTAGCTCCGTCTCCTCATTGCGAACCCATTCCACCAACTGTGGTTGTCTGAGTCCATCGAGAACAGTCGCTAGCGAGCCTTCTTTCTCGCGGCCGGCGACCTTACCCGAAGCTCCGTTTCACCGCGGCCAGCTTCATCCGGTGAGCCATTGTCCTTGCTTGTTGTCTCTACAGCTTCATCTCGATGCTGTGGTGCTTAAACCGTTCTTGCTTGGTCGTTTTGCTCACTACAGTCACCGGAACTCCATCGCCGACGAAGGCTGCTCCGCCGTGACCGCTATCACCGTCGACCTGCGTCACCGTAGCTCCTCCGGTCTCGTTCTTTGCTTCAACACGTTCGGGGTGAGCTGCTGATCCTTTCTAAGCCTTTTGTTTGATCTCTACTGGCCTTGTTTCGCCGGAGTAGCGATGCCGGGCCACCGTGTCCGCCATGGCCGGCGTTAGCCTTGTTTCATGTCGTAATCAACCTCCGTAGTGCCACAGATCGATGCGCCTAGTCATTATGAATGTTTTGGTGCTATGGCCGTCCCGGTTGGGCTCACCGGCGGCAAGTTTGAGTCGGTCAGCGCCGTTGTCGCCGCGGTCAAAGCCGGAGCTTAGGGATGACAAGTGGGTCCCGTATGTCAGCGACTGTGTAGTTCAAAATTGAATTTTTCTATTTTCAGACATGGATGAATAGTGTCTGTTTTTGTTATTTTTGTGTAGATTTGTTTAGAGCTCCAAAAATTATGAAAATTTTTGTGTGACCTCTCTGTAATGAATATTATTTAGGAAAAATATGAAACTTGAAATTTGAATAAATTTTTAATGTTCAAAAATTCAGTCAATTAATTGATAAATGAAATTTTCATAATTTTTGTAGGCCACTGTATAACTCCAAAAATTATGAAATTTATTTTGGTACACTAATTTGTCATGCGGAATCTTACATAAAATTTTGAGGTCATTTGGAACAAGTTCATTTTTGAGCTTCATTCCAAATTAATTCAAAAATGGATAAAAGCAAACCCTAAGTGTTGGTTTAGAGTTTGATCTTATTTGGGTCATGTTTTGTGACCAGTAGGGTTTCAAGATCAATTTGGTCAAGTCACTTAGGTCATAAACCCTAGATGATAGTGTCAATTAATTTTGATTTGCAGCTGTACCGCGAAGGAAAGTTGTATTCAAGGTGTTGTTATATTTCATGCACCATAAAAGCATCATGTTTACATTATCATCATGTTGAAGCATATGTTATTATTTCGTGTAGAATCCGAGAGTGAACCGATTCTAGTTGAGCAAGTTGTGGAAGAATCCCCGGTTGTCTCGGGATTTGATATTTGTGGTACTGATCCGGAACCCGAGATCGTCAACGAAGGCAAGCCCCGGTTTATGCATTAAATTATTACCTTGTTTACTTTGAAAAGTTTATCACCTATGTTACTTATTGCATTAAGTTGATTAATTCAAATGTTACCTACTTGATGCATTGCTTACCTTGTTAATTGTTTACCATCCTTGAAGATGATTTCATTTACAAAGGCGTAGAATTGCTTAGTATGCTTTATGGTAGGCTTTCAAAGTAAAAGTTTCGATACAATCAAAGATGGCATACTGGCTAAAGAAAGAAAGAAGATAGAATGAACTAGAGACTAGTCGGGTGACTTATCTTGAATGTTGGGTAATGTTGCCGACTATGTCGCTTAAAGGCCACTCATTGTGGATCTTCTGAACGAGACACTTTGTAGTACTGGTCACATACTCCGGTAAGCCTACTTCGGCTAATCCGATACTAAGACGAATGCCCACGCACTGTGAGTGGAGAGATGGCGGGAGTAGCATGTACCCTCGTGGCTGGAATGTGGCCGGATTTGAGGTGTGCTGTGTTCTCGGGTGGCGTGAAGACGGCTTAGTATAGGTGTCGCAGAACCGACCAATTTATAAGAATACAAGTACAATGGCAATCCGCAAGCGGTCGCACTGTCATACTTAAACCCATATAAACCCGGTAGTCCGTCGAGTACCACGACGGGTCTCGATAAACGATTTACAACAACCAAGATCGTACAGGATTCAACATACATGCCACATATTACATAAAGTTCACAGATACTTTTCATCATCAGAGTACGAATAAAAGTTATTACAAACCGAGTTTGATAAATAAAGCGGAAGCAAATAAGTTCGAAGATAAAGTTTCCAACATAGTTTGGTACAGTGCCAAGCTAGATCACGATCCACAAAAGCAAGGATAGGAATTT